CCACAGCCGCTTTGGAAAACAATGATTGAGAGGAGCAGCTTGTGCCATCCAATTCACATTTAGAACAGCGGCTCATCCGCTGACATTTTAAGAAGCTGGCTGCTGCCAGAGCATAAGGAAAGAAAAGTAGTTAAAAGATAGCCCACTGCAGGATTAACAAAGCAAAGCTGGATGGACACAGCAATCCAAGGTAATCACTGGATACAGTTTTCCAAGCACTCTTTAACCTAACCGTCTAAAATCTTTTGTCCATTTAGGATAGATATGTTCATTGTATAAATCTGTTGTTCAGTTTTATCACGAACTCAAAGCTAGTGAAAAATCACTTAAAAATAGCACAGCTCCTACTGATCCAAACAGGGGCGACACTATTGCCAAACGGAATGGAAGTTACTTTGGAGCAATACATCTCTTACGTCAGGCTGGTACTGAACTAAGCTGCAACAAATCAATACAATAGCACACACAGGGACTTCACTGGAAGACAACATTTTGGCATCTTTTCAATTTCTGAAAAATTGCCTGCATTATCACACCCCCCCACCATAGCGGGTCGTGCCAACAGCTAGTGCTACAGCAGTCTTCCCTGTCCATTCTGATCACACAGACATTCCAGTCACACGGCTGGTACTTCCAGCGCCCAGTTAGTTCGACAACCGAGCTTCTGTTTGTCAAAATATTTTAACTGGGAAAAGCCACGGAGGAAGACAACTTCATTCGCCACATTACGACCGTCTTCTTTTTTTTTTTTTCCTCTTTAAATCGCTTGTCAGTAAATCTGTAACATACAGGCCAAAAACAGTAAAGAGCAAATTAAAGGCACATTATGGTCAGGGTAGTTTTCTCAAACTCCTTTGATAAAACTGCAGCAGCAACAACAAATTACTGGTCGCACAGCTGAAGGGAAAATGAAACCCAAGACAATTTCAATGTACATGAATGGCATAGAGTACCGTCAACCACTTCACTCAATTTGGAAAACCATCTTCAAAAAAAAAAAACCCTAGGCTGACTGCAACTAAATGAACCCCAGCAGTTTCTCCAGACTGAGCAAATTAATGTTTCTTTTGCTCAGTTTACATGAATCCTCTTAACTACTCAATGTACCTCATCCCTGCTATTCGCTTCCTGAGGAAGTCTGTTGGGTTGAGTTGGAGATGATCGACAATAACGCAAAGACAAACAAACGACGAACTGCCAACAGGAAGCACGTCTTCAACAAACTACCTGGCTATCCACCTGCCAATTCCCTGGACCACAAAAAAAGGACTTAAAAAAGCACAAGAGGCTTGATGGCCTCTCTTCCTTTCTCAATCTTTTAAAAGGTGATTAAAAAGAAGTAACTTTTCAAAGGCAGGCTCTGACAGTAAAGAGCGGACGACGTTAAAAGAGACAAATGTTTTAGGAATAAACTGGCAGCAAACGTAGGAGGCATTGGGCTTGGCAAGAGATGTTCTCTTAATGAAAGCATACAGGCTTTGGCCTAATACCATAATAAACACCAAATAGTTGTCCAAATAGCCACATAATAAAGTCCAGTGAATGTTATAATCTGCTATGAGAATGCTGACGTTTTCAATACTACATCTCCTGGTGAGAAAATGTACACGTTATGTCAATCTCACCCAAGCTATGATGGGCACTTTCATCTCTCCCCTCACCTAAAGATGAGAACCACTACAGGACTCTCAATGGATCAAGAAAATGCTAAAGAAATTAATTTTGAGATAAGCTAGGTCATATACTGTTGATGGCTTGTGCTTTGCGTGTTCAGGGGATGATTAAACCAACATTGCGGGAGATTTATTCTTGAATAACGGAAGGTTTATCAACGATTCGCAGCTACGCAGAATCTATCTGGCACTTGGCGCTAATAGCATCCGAGTTTTAAAAAAAACTTTTTGGAAACCAGGAAATCCTTGGCGTTCATGGGGCTTACTTCTGGATCTCTGAGCAATGCACAGCATGGGAATTTTCTCATAAGGAATGTCATTCCATTTTCATGCTGGGTGCATACAGCTGTGCCTACTGGAGATATTTTACAATTGTGTCCCTCAGGCATTTATAACAAACTGATGTATGACTGGGATTACTTTCTGCAGCATATTACCCAATTTTTCAATAAGAAATCGCAGGTCAGGAAAGCATGGTCTCAACAGACCCTTTAGCAAACACCTTGTCATTAATTATACTGCAATTCACCTATAAAACCCTCTAGAGTAGCTACTGTACCAACACTACCACATAACTTGCTTACTGTGAATTTGATCTGCCTACAACAATGCAAAAACATCCAGGGCCTAGAACAAAAGATGAATAAGTAACCAACCATGGCATATTCTTGCACTCATTCACAGTTTTTCCACCTAACTGCTTTCATGTCATGAGAAACCCTTAACTTCCCCCCAAAAAAGGGAAAAACGCATTCATAATCAAAACTTTTTTAGAACACGTTTCTAAAGCAGCATGTGGACTACCAAAGTTCGCCAAAGATGATCCCAAATAACATTTAAATTCCAGAAACACTCACTGCAAAGAATTCAGCTCTGAAATATGGAAGACCTAAGGAAAATCCAGTTATTCTGAGGAGAACGCAAATCTTTACAAATAAAATGCTGGCACACTTAAAAGATAAGCAAGCCTGCAATCTCATTTGGATGTAATCCTATTACAGGAATTTTTGTTTGTTTATTCTACAATGTTAACAAATTACAAAGGACTCTGAATATTAAAACCTACAAGCTTTGTTTTGAGAAAGAAATTTGCTAGACTCCAAATGAACAAGCACCAAGTGGATCACCTTCATAACAAAAAGGTGTATCTTGGGGTTTAACGGTTGCAATCGAAGCGCTACGCACACTAGGTTGGTGTAAGGCGTGACGCGAGATTTCTAGTCATGCCTACAAACTTTTATCATTGCCCCACATTTTCTTGTTCTTCTAATATACTGGAGTTGCAATACAAAACCCGCAGCCTGATACCTACAGAGGAAAAGCTTTCCTGTAACATCCAGTCCTGAACTAATACAGTTGTTCTGGCCAGTCATCTTCAATGTACACTAAACATATTTGGCATTCTGTAAGAAATAATAAAGGCATCTCCAATGGCAGGACCTGGAGAAAATTATTTCAACCATCCAACAGCAATGATAATGCATATGTCCCAATTATTATGCTTTGGAATCTTTCCCCTTACAAACTAAAGACTATTTTATTGACTTGGTCTCACATTTCTAAAACGCGTATCCCGTACTTGGGAGTGCAAACTCAGCCAAAGCAGAGTGATAATGATTGCACACATGCTTTGGGAACCTGAGACATATTCAGAGGTGCAGCAAAAAATAAATAAATGACATGTGGCTTTTCAAGTGCGACATCACTCATTACTCACAGAAGACCAGTGAAAATCGGACGAGTTGGATTATTACAGTAAAGATCCTTTACTTTCCTACAGCAAACAGAAAACAAATACTTTTGCACTTGTCAAGTTCCCAGGTACTGTTCTCTCTTACTCAAAATGAACTCCAACATTTTTCCAGGCTACATGAAGTGTAAAAATAAAATACATTTTTCCCCATACATAAAGCAGAAAGCCCTACATTCTCACTTTTAAGTATTTCTCATTAGGAAAATGGTCATGGAGGGAACTGGTCACGCAAACGTTTTGATGAAAGTCTTGTACCACTGCTACTGGCCCATCCTCTGATCTCTTATTCACACTTAGTGATTAAAGAATGAGGCAACATTGGCAGCAACTTCAACCAGCTTCAATGCTGTTTCAACTTCAATGACAATGGACTTTTGTTTTGCTGTGGGTGGGGATTTCAAGTTCAGTTAAATAAAGATTATTGTATTAAAAAAGGAAGAGTACCTTTAGGAGGAAGAGGCAAAGTCTGGAAAACTTAACCCATTACTGCAGTGATTACTTCTTCACATCGGGAGTCTCTAGGTACTGAAAAACGGTTTTGGACTTAAACAAGTCCAAATTACTCAACGCCTCGATCAAACATTGAAGGAGAATTAAAAAAATTAAAAACTGGGGCAAAAAAAGTTAATGAAAATGGAACAAGACTGAAGAGTTGTACGCCTGCTTAAACCTGGACCTTCAGTTTTTCCCAGACAAAAATCCAACACTGGCAAGCAGTGGCAAAATAAAACCGAGAGAGCTCGATTTTCCACTTCCAGTGTAAAGTAAACCCTGTGAAACGAAAACAAGCAATTCCTGTCTGTTTTCACTAGGGCCACTCTGTTAAAAATGAGTCTGTTTGGGAAGACATCTATCACAATGTAAGGATTTCCATAGCGGGTCATCACCCATGACGCGGATGGGGAGGGAAAAAAGTTACTGAACTTTCCGAAACATGTCTTTGCAAGAATTCCAGTTACTTTAAAAACCAAAAGGAATGAACTTTCTTACCAACTAAGTTTGATTAGATAGGCTGGAAATTCAAGAATAGTCACATTTGCTTCCATACCTACCAAAAACACAACAGCAAAGTCATCATGAAATGACTGAGGACATATTCAGTCTCATTTCTATTCTCGACTGTTACTCACCCTATATAGTGCAACAATAAATGTCACTATGGTCAAATGTAAGCAAAGGAATTTGCAAGAAAACTGAAAACCTATGGTTTGCACTAGAAAGGAGTTCTGAAGTTTGAACAAAACAAACATGATTTAAGGATCTCTATTAGACTGTGGGACTAGGATACAAATACAAAAATTATATAAGCTTATGTAGTTACATTTATAGCTTCCCAGGTCAAGTGCAAAATTAAAAGATTTCAGTGGTATAATTTTTTTATTTAACCAGTGTAACTTCACACTACAAAAACATTACTGAACTGCTCCTACAAAAGCAAACTACAAAACTTAAGCGTTAAAAGAAACAATAAGATAAGGAGAAAAGGTCCATGAAACAAGTATATTCCAGTTTCCTGAAATGAAGCAAAACAGTTTTATCTGTGTCTAGAAATGTAGGTTAATAGTCAAACTTACCACCCTAGCTGCTCTCTCCTGAGATTCACATTTTCTGCAAAACCAGGGGCCAGTAGGGACTTGAACAATGCCATAACATGCTGCAATCAGGATAAAATTACAATCAGTATGCTTGCAAAATCTGGGTACCAAGAACCATGATGCACACAGACCACAGAAGAGCCATGGAACTTTGAGAGTGGGGCTGACAACATTCGTAGCTCCTTTTCGAAATGACACACAGCATGTGAAGAATGATCAGCAGCAATACGTGATGTGTGATGTGATTTTTTTTTTTTGTCTGAAGCGTTGGGATAAAAATCTCCAATAGCTTTTAAAATAACCCGATGTGCTGGTTCTGCTAATGTGGGAAAAAAAACATAAACTGGACAATGCAGTCACTGCCTGGCAAATGTGTTATAATGTCCAAGGAAGAAAAATCATTCATCGGAACCTACTCATGTATCTGCACTGATGTCTTTAAGATGTGCCAGTGTCCATGTACCTGGGATGTAGTCTGTCAAAAACCGAGCTCAGACCAAAATTAAAAGAGTGGGTGCCAGTGCAATCTGCACATTATGGGTGATTAGTGGGTTTCTGATTTAACCTTTTAAAGGCCTGTATTCTTTTGTAAATAAATACTGCAGATGAAAAAGAGTTAGGGTCTGCAAATCCTTTTGGAACTTCTGAAGTTTTCTGCTCACTTTTCAAGCAAAAAGCCAGGGACCAAAAGCAGTCTGAACTGAGCGCATCAGTGACACCTGAACCAAAACAACCTGTACTCCCAGCTTCCAGAAAGAGGTTGCAAAAGGTTAAAGAACTCCTCATAAGACAATGATGTGGGTATACAATGAGAACATGTTTACTTCAACAGAGTTTCATAAAGGTTTTCCTGGTTAACACCTGGTTACAAATAAAAATGTGAAATATGCTCTGGCTCGAAAACCATTCATAAATGCCCCGTTAAGATTTGCTTTCCTCTCAATAAACTGAAAATGCATTGACTTTATCAGCCCATAACAGAAGGGGTCTAAAACAGGCATCTCATTCGTAATATATTACAATACATGGACCAAAGTTGTATTTGCCTAACGTCTCCTAATCACTAACAGTACAGCTATACAGCAGAGTTAATCAAAGTTTTTTTTCCCCCAGTCATGAGATGTTATATTGTAAGTAAAAGGTATAAACACAAGTTTTGTATCATAAGCAGATGTGGTAGCTTAGGACGGGTTACATATAAAAAGGGTCTATATTCCTCTTAAGGTAACAGCGTAGCAGGAAGACCAGACAGGACCAGGGAGTTGTAGACGTCAATCGCCATGGAAACGTGTCATCCTAAACTTTTGGAAAAGTCGTATGTCAATACTAAGGAACCGGCACCGTTTAAAAAAGGGTAGAAACCTAACAAAACACGAGTATTCTCTCTTACAGACCACGCAATTTGACATACGAGCACGTTTCCCCGCAAATAACCGTTTTCATTACCATTCGTCCTTGCTCAGAGTGCCGCCTGTATAACCGTGCGCCCTCGTGTCTTCACACAGAGCAAATGTCACTGGGAGCACACGGAGCTCTCCCACGCATTATTAAAACTACAGGGAGAAATGTAGTGGGTTTTTTTTATCATTAGCAACTCCCCAGAGTCAAGATATTTCAAATCGCCAAATATATATATAATATATAGCGGGAAAGGGGACAGATAACCTGAATAACTTGCAGTGGGAGATGAAACTGATCGTTCACGTCTCCCCAAAGCGTGCAAGCACCGCCACACTGAAGCCCACCTGAAGCCCCCTCTGGACGAGAGCAGGAGAGGAGCGGAGGCTGGATGCACAGGCTGAGAATTGCGAGCAGGAGTTCCTCTTGACTGCGATCACATGACATCTAGCTGCTCTCTCTCTCTCTCTCACTCTGCTCCCCTCGGCCGGAGGCCGTTTGGTAAACACGTCCTCCTCGCTTCCTTCCTCCCCGGTCTGTGCCTGACGGGGCCTCGGAGTTGCTACTGCAGCGTGAGCGATCTGCCCTCCCCCCTCCTCTCCCGCTCTCAAATAAAAGTACACAAGACACGCAGGTGCTAAGGGGGACGAGCGGGGGAAGGAAAAAAAAAATAGAGCGATCTGAATTACCTTGGTGAACAGCGACATTGCAGCCATGCCCGTCACAGTAAACCAGTGGATTCTCAGCCCAACCTCTCTCGTCTGAGCAAACGCAACAGCCTCCAATCATCTCCTTCATATTATTCGAGAAGTAGTCTTCTTCCACTGCCAGGGACGGCTCGCTGGATACCATCTATCGGAGGGGGAAAGTAAAGCGTACAGGACAAAAGGAACGAGCGTTTTCGGAGGGTTTCCTCGACACTTTCCCCGGGGTTCGGCTAGGTTCCACTTTGTTGCAATGCCATGTTGTTTGGTCGTGGCTCCCCCTACTCACGCCGTAATAATTCACTCACACACAGCACGAGCTTGGGACTCTCGGCGAATGGGGCTGCCAGAGCGCATGCGCACGGGGGAGAGCCTCTCAGCCCGTAGCAGGAAGGCAGAGCCTTGCGAAACGGGCGCCATTTTGGCTCAATCCCCCTTTTCACCGTTTCCCCCCAAAGGCGAAGCCATTTTGGCTCTTTTCCAACACGTCAGCGCGGATCTATCATTTTACAAATCCCGTATTTAATTTGATTTAACAAGTATATGGCCTAGAGCGGAGATTCTCAACTCCGGATCTGGGGGCTCGTACTGCAGCAGGATTTCTCAAAGCGCTTTTGAAAGTGTCAAAGCCAAAGGCTGTCGAGAAGGAATCATTTGGTTCGGTAAAACTTTAATTGGATATCACACTTCATCCAGGTTACGACCTGTTTAGAATTTAAGCAGACATATAAAACTATTTTTATGGATTGGAGCTGATAACCTCTGTCCTAATATTTTACATATCCGTTTACCGTGAATAATAAGATTTGGAACTCCAATTTAAGACATTTAATCAGTATCCCTGAAATAAGTTAGTATTTTGTTTATATGTGGGGTGTCCTTCGTCCCTTGGTATGAAAGGAATAGTTAGGCCATTCTGTTTATTCTGAGCCTTTCTTTTATTTTCAGTTTACAAAATTATAAATGCAGTAGTAAAATATGAAATAATAACACGAGTCTTTCGTAACTTCGGTTATTCTAACTTCAGTTATTACCTCGGTGAATTTCACATTCCTAAATGCTTAGATAAACATGAAACAACAAGCCCTGGTGCATTCTGTAAAATATATATTTAAAGATACTCTAGAAACCAGACATGTGGTCATGCTCTGTTGTCCTGTGGAAACAACACTGAAGTAGGCCTGTGTGCTTTTAGCTCTTATGTGTGTCTCCCGGTGTGATCTGATGCGCAGTCACGCTGTTTTGCAGTTTAAGAAAGGTTTATACACTGAAATATGTTCTGGGTGGAGCCGAAGGGAGATTCTCGCAGCGCCCCGGCCTTGTTGTGTAAGAAACAGAAGCGAGACTGAGGAATCCTGTGCTTTGTGTTGACCGGGAGGGAAATTAAGAACTTGATGCAGAGTCTAAAGTAGCCTTTTCGTATTAACTTTCGTAGTAACTGTTTGAGACGGTGAGTTATCTTGCGTTTTACCACTCCACAACTACCAGAACAGGAATGTGTTACTTTTTCCCGAATAAATAGGGGGAGGGGTGCACTCTTGGGGAGCTGTTTATTTTATGGACAATCTAACACATTTTACTTCCGTTTTGGATGTTGTTTTTTCCCCCCCATCCAACTGCAAGCGGCGAATGGACAGTACAGTGAAGACTCTACATTGCTGTAGGCTTTTGCTACCTGGCTGCTTCTTCTTTTTTCCAGATTAGTTACGGTAACACAAATTGTACTGTTTACGGGGACGCGAAAGGCAGATGTGTGGTATGTACTTGAGAGTGTTCTAGAAACGTAGCGATAGGCGAAAAACAACCGCACGATTAACTGTATTTTGCTTCTGTAAACGCCGCTTATTTTGTGAATATTTAATACACGAGCAATAATACTTAAAGACTAAATTTATCTGCCTCAGTCAACGTTTTTTATTCTTGTTTTAAGTAATCCCCGACCCCGTACATTATGAATGAAACATTCCGCATCGAGCCATGTTCTTTTTTAATTTAACAAATATTTGTTTTATCAACCTAGTAAAGCCCTATATTAGAATGTTTTAATATAATTTTCCTTCTGGATTCGATGTAGGAAAGTGTAATCCGAAAACAGCTTCACATCCTCTATTATCTTGCTTAAGTCGCAGCCCTCGGATCAATTAATTGGGAAGCTGGAATTCGAATCAAACTTTTTATTTCACTTGTTGGCACTTCAAAAATGCATTACTTTATACAGTGCCTCGATATAATTGTTATTATTGTAACTTGTAAATCAATATTGCCTATTTATCGCGTGTATCAGATCACCGGACAGTAAATACATGTTGAAATCTGAAGGCGATACAATGTAGACAGTTCGTTATCAATTCTATGTAAAATAATACATAATCAGCGACTTTATTCGTCTGTGTTTTATAAATATCACCTTTGTTACTTTTTTCCTTGGACGCAGACAACAAATCTGATTACTTTTTCCTTCTTTTCATGCGGTTTCTCTGTATTTTCATACTGAGAAGCAGCAATAAAATAAACTGGATAATTTTGTAAATAATTTAAAACTAATATCTACTTAGGGTTAGGTATCTAGGATTCGGAAAACAGAGCGCATTGCACTGAAAAGCAAATGTATTTGAAAACGGTGTTAAGTTAAAGTGAGCTTTTTCAACAGGATATCTTTCCTTCATTGATTTAAGAAGCGCAAAGTATCGCAAAACAGAAGCACCAGCTCATTTTGAATTACATGTTCGCTATTTGATATACTTGGGTGCACGTTATGTCAAAATACCATGCAATTGTAGGTTTTACATTTTTCTAGAGTCTATTACTGGGCGTATCATTATGTTAAACCCTAAAATACTGCGTATTTGCCCGAAAGATTCTGTTTTATAAAATAAACCAATCCTAAAATCTGCGGGAAAAGTAGATGCGCAAAAATTTTAAAAACAACAAACATCGAGCCTAGAAATTTTTTTCTTGCAGAATCTTCGAAAACTGTCTGAAATACGTGTAGATCAAGCAGTCAAGTGGTCTTGTGGCAAATGCAGGAGACTCCCAAATTGAATTCTTTGATTTGTGTGCTAAACAATTTACATTTAAAATTAGTCCAGCATCTCAGAGGGCAATAATGAAAAAAGTATGTTTGAGGTCTACACCCTAAGGTTAACATCTGAAATGCTTGTTTGTGACTAAAAAGGTGTGACTGTTTTGCAGATTAATTCCTGCACTGCATAACAGAATACATCAAAATGCACGCACACATATTGTGTACTGCATGCTTCTGCATTAAAAAAAAACCTACGAATTGATAACACCAAGCTATATCATTTAGTGCAGGGTCATATGGATAGATTATTGTGATTTCTGTATAACATTTTTCTGAAATACATTAGTTTACAGCAAGTTCTTCCATTTTTGCAGTAAGCTCCTTTTCTTCCAAATGGTTCAGTTTTCTCAATTGAACCCATACAAAATACATATCTGGTATTCAGCTTCTGCAACTAAAGACTCTGAATGTACAAATTTACACAGACTAACTCAAAACAGTACTCATGTATTTATCACGCTAGCCAAGCATAGCAACTTTTTCAGTGTATTGAAGAGAGAAGAAAAAAACTTTTTCCCCCTCACTCGTCCTCTGTCAAAAAAGATTATCATTAAGCATTTCCATTTCTTTATATTCAAAATGTGATAATTACATCCTACGTCTCTGTCCTGCCCATTAAAGATGCACTAATTGGTTATTCCAAACATTCTATAGTTGGTTGCATCTCTACAATACATGCTGTATAGTCTTCGTTTCCAGAGAAACGTAATATGTTTGCCAATAATTTATGGGGCACACGAGGCTTCTCTATAAAGTACAGAAAATGAAAGGTTTTTTTCTGAAGGACTGTCAATTATTTGCTTTAATTCTGGGATGCTTAAATGCAGCTTCTACATTAAGGATAAGGCAAATGTAAAACACAAAGCAGGACAACCTACTACAGCCTAAGAAAACAAAAAAGGGTTCAAAGGGACTGCTGCACTAGCGGTGCTACTGAAATAACAATGATTTTTAGTCTTGGGATATGATTAAGTCAAGGTCAACCTATTTTTCTCGAGTTAACTAAGCATTATTTCTGCTAAGCTTAAATGCTTGTATACACCTTAGCTCTCCATTTTGTGTCCAACTGTATTTTTCAAATGGTAGGTCTGTGTTAGTGTTGCGATTTTGTCAGTGCTATATTTTTACACGAGACTCTTCATCCAACTGTAGCTTAGACTTAAGAAAGTTCTACTTTATTAACATGTCAAACAGCTGCATGAATGTCATTGATCATCAATAATGAATACAAGTCTTATTTTGCCTGGGTCAGCATTAAATAACAAATCTCCCACCCACCCAAGACAGACACACACCTTCAACAACATCTGGTATCCTATTCAGCCCCACAAGCTGTGTTTCAGCTTGTCATGAAATTGCTGTTGAAGTGAGGACAATTTTTAAAGAAGTGTTAGGAACCCAGGAGTAGGTTCTCTATGCCATGAAATTTTATGTGAACCGATCTTATTACCTTACTACTATCTTATTTGAAACTTTTTTTTGGCTCTATATCTATTAATTTCCCAGTTCAATTTTGAACCACAGACACCAGAATGTTTGGTTTTTTTTTGCTTGAACTGAATGAATTGTCTCAACTTTATTACACTGTACTCACTGTTTTGCATCTATGAATTAGGTTAAAGCTCACAAAACTGAGGTTTTAGTTCAGCTTCCTTACCCTTTCGATACTTAATGTCAAATTCTGTAGATCTTATTGTTCTAAAAATAAATAGAGGGAAATGTTGTATCTCATCTTCTTTGATGTATTTTTTTAAAAAAAGAAACATTGAACCTGTATGTTATATGTGCCACCACTGTTGGTTTACTGGAGCACATCATAACATTTCAGTGAATGAATAATAAGGGTTTTGTGGGGAAATTGAGAGTCATGGGACTTGTTTCCAAACTAATTATAGGAGCAGAAGAACCACATTTTCACTAACTAAAAGAAGAATGCTTTGAATTGCTAAAAGTGCTAACATAAATCCTTAAAAGTAAAATCAGCTTAGCAAAGAACATTGTTATTAAGAAAGTTGTTCTGAAAGGTTTGTCAGGAGACACAGTTTCCAGGAATTAGAGTATTTGCTCAGTAAAATATTTTGTCCCTGAAAATATTTAAGCAGGCCGTTTCTTCGGTGCTGCCTGACATAAAGTCCCTTTGCTATCAGTATTGAATAACTCAGCATGACATGCTTTTTAACACCCAAACTTTGTTCTTTGGCTGAGATACACAACAGATTAAGTATTTATCAGTCTTGCCATTCAGGATTAATATTGCTAAAATATGAACATGTTCAG